TGAGGATCTCTCAACGTGCCGTTGCGAACTGCGCAACGCAGGGTTGACTCTGACTGCTGAGCGAGGCTTGCTCCGCCTCCGGCCACGCCTCCAGCCGAGGCCTATATAAAGGGTCGCCTCTGCCAGTCGGCGCTCTTCGTCTCCTCCGGGAGAGACGGTCGTCGGGCAACGCGAGGAAGGCGAACGGCTAGGGGTGCCTGCTAGCACCCGTCAGCATGTTCGGGCATGCTGTCCCGTTCGCTCGGAGCGCTGGTAAGTTAGTGTCCCGCTACACCCGAGGGACACTATCGGCTGCAGGCCGTTGTTACCGCTGTTACCGCTATTGGCTGCAGACGACTACAAGCGTTGGCCGGGCTTCTCCACGCTCGGCAGGAAGTTAAGTTGTAGTGCGTAAAGGACGTTATCGCCAATAAACTATGAGTCCAAGATGTGTAGTGTTGTGTACAAGTATAGCAGCACGGGTAAGCTTGGGGGAGCGCCAGGGCTGGGGCCCGATTAAGGCGCAATAGGTCATCATGTGCTGCGTGCATCAAGGGGTTGTTACCGCGGGGCATGGCCCTGTAACCCCCCGTTCCTGGGTTAGGAACCCTGTAAGGCCCCGGGGTGCGGAGGTCATGCGTGCGGGAAACCGCATGATCCCCGGGAAGGACCCGTAGAACGACGTGTGCCTGGGAAAGGCCACGGGGGCCCCGAACCACCTCGATGCGTCGTGTTGGAGGGTTAGGAGGGCAACCGCTCCCGAACCACGACCCCGAATAATCAGTGTTAACCAACTGATTACCAACTAATCGATTGACTATGGAAGGGTCTCTCGAATATACTCTGGCAATTAGGCATTGCTATGCAGCCATGTATCACCAGGCAATCATGGTTCCACACTGATCAAAACACTGACGCCTACGCACATCGCAGTGCATGTGCTTCGCTAGTAAGGGCAATGATTCCTATAGGTCAGAGGGGTTTCCAGGTAAGGTGGGGGAGGCTTAATGGTACACTTATGGCGAACAAACAGGGAAGTCCGTAGAGAAACAACCGTCTTCAAATTTCCATAAAGCGAATCCTAGCTATGCGCAGGAATTGTCAAAGTGTCTATACATGCTGGAATTCGGTTGATATCAGTTCGATAATGATAATATCTTCAGTGTCCTGTAGCATACAGGGTGGGGCAAAATTACTGGTGCACCTATACGTTTTGAATTTTTTAACACTTCTTGGAGATTTTCCTGTTTCACTCGCTTGTGATATGTTGCCTGGAGGTTGCGTAATTCCTACGTACTCGAATACAAAATGGTCCGTCGTTCTGACCTACGGAGCGCGATCATCAAACTTCACAACGACGGCAAGCAAACAAGAGAAATTGTGAAGATCCTTTCCGTACCTCGAAGGACGGTTCAGAATACAGTACGACGCTATAAAGAATTGAAGACCGAAGAGGACAGGGAAGGCAGAGGACGTCTCACAA